ACTTTTACAACTGACAAAATGGATACCCGATTGGATTCCTTGGCTAATTCGTGATTAGTTCTCTACTGCCTTTACCCAGTGCTTCACAGGTTTACTGTTTCTGGTTGGTTCTTTGTTCTCATTCGACCTCATTTTCCTCCTTACTTCGTCCACGCGACCACCAGTTTTAACTGGTGCACGTATTTTTCTCGTCTGAGTGTTTCGTCTACTCTTTCAGACCCTTCTAGAGACGTTTCCGCCACTTCGCCAGGCGAAACTGACTGCAAGTTTTATGTAAAACAGATCCCGTCTACTGTCTTTTCTATGGGTCTGTTTAGTATCTGCTCTGGCATTTCCAGTCGCTCATCATGAGTTGTTTCATCCTTCTCGAACTCCTGCAGAATCTCTTCGGGACTCATAAATTCCCTGATTAATTTTTCCTTTTCTTCTTTTCACACTCTGGACAAATGGCGTTGACGTCATTGGTCTGGTCTTTTTTGCCAATTTTAATTGTCCATGCTTCTTCTCAATTTATTTTTGCTTTAGCTATCGACTTTAGGTTTTGCGCCTTCTGTGCCGACGGTTTTTGTTTTTCCTCGTCCTGAGTTTTCGGTTGCGAGCCCCCTTTGTTTGGCTTCACTCTTTGTTCTCCAAAACTGGTTTTACCGTTAGCTTCATTTTCTCTCGACGCCGCCACCGTTTGACTTTGCTGAAAATCTCTTTAAAATGGATCCTTCTTTTTCATCATCTCTCGACTCTGAATCAGTTATCCTTTTCTCAAACATCGCTTCTGCCTCGTGTGTCAATTGCTCCTGCACTGTATCGGAAACCCTCTTTTTAGCTTCCCAAAAGTGTCCTATAGCATTTGTGATGTTCGAATTCCTTTACACCGTTTTTTTCGTAGTGATAGTCGACTCCGATTTTTTGTTTATCGGAACTGATGAAGCAATAATCGACGCTTTTCCTGTGTTTTTTGGGTCTTTGCTTACTACTTTCGTTTATGTGTTCGCAATGCTTGCTTTTCTTTTTTTTGTTATTTAATCCACTTTTTCTTCTATGAAACCGAATTTCCCCAAAAATCAAATCTTTGTTTCGGATCAGGAGTTGCTCTCACAAACTCCTCCAGGCTCTTTTGCATCACGTTGCTCGCTTTATCTCGTCGGATCTTGTTTCAAGCCGCATTTGCTTCAAGAGTTCGTTTTAACAAACGCTGGTGTTCTTCTTCCTCTCTATTTGCTGTTTGCAAACTGAACAGTAGACTGAAATCCCTGCTTGCTTAACATTTTCTCACGGTTTTCACATTCTCCCTATTCTGATCGATGCATCGTTTGAGTTAAGATGCCTACCGCTCCAGATGTTTTTTTCTTAAATTATAGAATTTGTCTGGAGACTAAAATAAGCTTTGATCTGAGTTTTTCGATTGTTTTTTGTTTGATCTATCTTAAATCGTGGATTATTGTACTCAAAGATAGTTTAATTGAAAAAAAATCCTCATTCAGGAGCATCAGCCACAAGCGTATTATATAATTGTATTGTTTGTATCGAGCGCTCAACAAGACCACAACATCAATGGTCACCCACTGGACACAAAATATGTTTATCGCAAAATTTTTTCATTTTCTTTCCTCGAACCCGGAAAACTGATCTGTTCTAAATTTTCTTGTTTTTCCGTCTATATCTATATAATTTCTACTTCTGAGGAAATTCACCGAAGATTTTTTACCGTTAGATTTTGTTACCTTCATCGAAAGAAATTTGAAAAATGATCGAAGACCCCCATGTACTAACATAGGCTATAGATTATCCGGTCTTCACCCTATGGAATAGCATAAGCTATACGTTTCCCAATGTATTAAGATAGAGGAAAAGTTTCCCAATGCATTAAGATAACAGGTTTCAGATGCCAAGTTTCAGATGTTTCAATACATTGTAGGGATTTAAGAACTCATTAAGATAGAAAAAAGGTTTCCTAATGTATTAAGATAGGGAATACCAATGGTAAGGTTTCAGTGTGACGGTAGGAGAATGGTAATAAAAACGAAATTTTTTTCGTTTTTGTGTGGAAATGTCTAGTTTTTTTTGCAAAAACCTCGGTGCGCGTTATCTAATTGTTGAATATCACTGGTTATTTACATGTACATTGCGGAATGAAGGTCTTGTAATTAGTTTGGTGGATCATGGTAAATCAATGGTAAAAGTTTTTGAGAAAAAATTTAGATTTTTTCTCAACAAAACTGATTTTTTTTTTAAAAAAACTTCAAAACACGATTAGTTTTGTTTTAATTCAACCTATTAACTAATTTTATAAGATAATCTTTATTTATAAAACATTACCTATGCTGAAACCTTCTAAAGCTTCGACAAAAGTCAAAATTTTGAGAGAAAAAAATTAAATTACAAAAACTATATATGAATCACTGCATCGTATAGTAAATTTACTGCCAGAATTTAAACTTACAAATAAAAAACAACACATTTTCTTAAAATTACTAATAAAATTCAAAACTTGCACATCATGAACTATTCAACGTTCTCTGGCAGAGTTTAAAAAGAAGAAACGCTGAATAAATTGCGTAAAGTCCACAAAAATTATCAGTTTTTTGTAGTTTTCTGAGTAACATCCGCCAATGTTTTTTGTCAAAAAAGAGTAAGTTGATCTCTTTCTACCCAAAGCATCAGCAAAACAGTAACTTTTGTCCAGTCGAGCAATCATAATCCATGATCATGATTGGGGCTGAGTTAAAAATTGCAAAACAAAACTTTGTTAGGTGAGATACTTTATCAGAGGACTAAGATCCAATGTACTTGAACCTGAGCTCAGGAGTTCTTTCAATAATTTGCAGAAGTGATAAAATATCCTTCTTTGCAATTATCAACTGATTTGCATCTAAAAACAAAGAAAAATATAGTTTGGTAGTGTAAAATAGGGTAAAAAAGTATGATTAATGACTTACATGCATTTAGGTTTTGAATCAACAAATTCCCATACACAAGCCTTATTCAGTTGAAAAAATGTCGTGGTTTTTTAATTAAACAGCATTCATTCACTAGTTTTTTCGAGTTTTAGCTCTTATGAAAAACAAAATAGATAGCCTAGAGATAATAACGATGGAAAGTCTCAAGAAAGTTAAAACATTTTAATAGGAACCTGAAAGCTCGAAAAAAGTAAACATTTTCAGCAACTGTTCCGAATTTGTCAATCAAACATTTGATAGTCTTTCTTCCAAGACTATCACTTCCGTTATTTGCTCCAAAGGAAACTGGAGAAACGTTTCTAATCCCAAGCTTTCTCCACTAAGTTCTGGATAATGCAACTGTTCAGCTGCATCCTGTTTTGAAGTCAAGTCAAAAACAAGAATATAGTGATTTTGAAAATATTCCATAGGAAGAGTTGGGAAAACTTTGTTAAACTGCCTTGCTTTCCTTGTTGTAACATAAACACGACAAGGAGAAGCTGTATCTAATGAAACAATTGCTCTTCCACCCCGAATAATTCTAAGCTCTCTCAAATGAAATTGCTGATAGCTGGAAGGGTTTTCATGAAAAGATTCTGCAACAGCTGAACTTGTATTCATTGCAACAGGTTTTTTCTGATTGGGGCATTTTTGAAAATATTTTCCTGAATAAACTGGTTTTGACGAGATGGAATGATAAAGGTTCTTGCTATAGTTTCTATGTAATTATAATGAGCAGGTTCCCTTTCCAGATTCGATTGCAAATATTGATGATTAGAATCAGCTACTAAAATTCTTCTAGTAAACAGCGAACAATCAAAAACTTTCAGACCAACATTTAGAATATCAGACAGCATGTAAAAAGTGGGTCTAGCTCGAAAACAAGTTGACCCGAGTCGAGATTTTTTACCTAATTTGAAGCAAGGTTTGAGCGGTTTTTTTAGACAATTACGTTCAAAATCTTGCTTCAAAATGAGCGGTTTGAGCGGTTTTTGGACGGTTTCATCTAAAAAAACCGCTCAAAAACCGCGCAAGATTTGAACGGTTTTGAGCGGTTTTTTAAGATAAACCGCTCAAAACCGTTCAAATCTTGCGCGGTTTTTGAGCGGTTTTTTTGAGATAAACCGTTCAAAAACCGCTCAAACCGCTCATTTTGAAGCAAGATTTTGAGCGTAATTGTCTAAAAAAACCGCTCAAACCGCTCAAATATTGCGCGGTTTTTTTAGATAAACCGTTCAAAAACCGCTCAAACCGCTCATTTTGAAGCAAGATTTTGAGCCTAATTGTCTAAAAAAACCGCTCAAACCGCTCAATTCTTACATATTTTCCAGTGTTTATTTTGCTCGATATAAATAATTTAAATTTGTTTATAAACAAGTTTGAACAATTTCTGAAAATCTTGCCTTTCTTGAAAAAATGGTTATCATACAATTTTCATATATGGAAACTGTATGATAACCATTTTTTTTTCAAAAAAAAATAAACATACTTATTTTTCATCACCAGACTGTTGTATTTGGTTCAAATAGCCGGAGAAACTAGATTGAATCTTTTTTCAATGGTTTTTTGAAATTGTATGAAACTTGTATGATTAGCACTCTTACATACATTTGCTGCAGGCAATTGTATGATAAGCTTTTTCGGTGTGGGGAAATTTAAAATAAGCATTTTCGGTATATGGATGTCAACCCTGGGTCACATTGCCTTTCCAGGCCTTTTTGTTGGTTTTAATCGGTTTTATTTATAAGTCCGCTCAAAAACCGCTCAAATCTTGCTTGAAAAACCGTTCAAAAATCACAATCACCGCAAGAAATGATCGGTTTTTGAGCGGTTTTTTTAAGCAAGATTTGAGCGGTTTTTCCAAAAAAAAACGCCCAAACCGCCCAAACCGCTCAAATTTTGCTGAAAAATTGCTCAAACCGCTCATATCTTGAGCGGTTTTTGAGCGGGATCTCGACCCGGGGATCGAAGTTTTTATATCAGGGGTTGATACTAAGCCAGCATAGCCCATACTAGCCATAATTTTGGTTGCTTGAATATATTCATGGGACTTCTTTGCTTTTACAGGGAGTGGGCAGGGCACCGATCTATGTTAGCTGCACGTTCGACAACGGTGGTAACTTATACACTGGAGATTCCGATGGAAAACTGATTGTTTGGGGCCCAGAACAATCAATCATCAGACATATAGACTCGTGCCATGAAGTAATTCCCAAACCTATGTTTTAATTTCATTAAAATACTTTCAATTTTTAGTTTTATCTAAAAATGTGCTCATCGTTGTTATTTGAACTGTGTGCCATTTCAGGGAGCAGTGTTTACAGTTGTAGTAAACGAAGAGAGCTCGCAGGTGCTGACAGGAGGAAGAGATGGGTTTATACATGTGTGGGACATGTCCTCAAACCCTCTTAGAAAACTCATGACTTTCAAGGCAAGTTATTGGTACCAAGTGCAAACCGCTCGAAGTTTTGTTTATGTTAGTGCTCCGGGCTTTTTCGCTGATTGTAAATTACTTTTTATTTTAGAGCCAATAATTAACCCGTAAAATTTTGTTATGATTATATTGACAGGTTTCACTAATCAAATCATCATTATGATTCAATTAAAAAATATAACCTCATAACAAACTTGCAGTTCTTATATTCCAGTAGATTTATTTGAGACGAGGAAGTTATAGTAGGTTTATGATCAGTACTAGACTAAGTAGTTGCACGAGCCTATCCGGCCGGCTCGTGCAACCACTTAGTCTAGTACTACAGACGGTGTGGTGTACTCAATCAGAAACTACTGAATGAGATGGAGATCCATCCCCATCCCACAAGTTGTTGGTGTTCCGCGTCGCCAATTTGAAAAATGAGTTCAAATCTGAAGCAGTTTTCCGTTACGCAGCCAGATCGAGGTTTCATTTTTGCTTTAATTACTTAAGCTTCACCAAGCTCCGAATTACAGTGCTGATTTGAATTATCCGGACAAAACGAAGAAAACTTGAATTTTCAAACACGTTTTTCTCAAATTGGGTTAAAATTTGACAAAAAGTGAAGAGAACAAAAGTTGCTTAAAACTTCACCAGAATTAACACTTCTCCGAAATTCTCAACCAAAACTATACCCCAAAAATGCGAGTAAATGCTTAAGGTAGCTTATTCATAAAGTAATTTCAGCTTAGGTACTCAATATATCTAGTGTATACTGGTATTTGCGAGTTAGTTCTTGGAGCTTGTCCAAAAGAAGAACAACTGTAGTCTAAGATTTATTCGAATTGTTCTGGTGCTGAAACTACAAGTAATTTCAACACTACAAATAAATGTCAGTGTTAGTGATGGAATATGTTTGGTTAGTTAGTAATACTTTATAGCGATAGTATTATCATTAATATAAATGGTTTATAAATACTAGCTCAGAACTGGTTCCAAATGGATCATTTTTTTCAATTAATCAAGAATTACGCTGAAACTTTTGTTAATTGGTGAAAAATCTGTGTATGTATATATATAAATCCAGTAGCGGATTTAGGAAAGCGGAGAAGGCAAAAAACCCTTCCCTCAACCCCCCCCCCCCCCCCCCCCTCAGGGATTCGACCTCCTGCCGATTCTTTGGTCAAAGTTTTCCAAAAATTGCCTGAAAATGCCTTTTTTGGACTGTTTTTTCAAAACTTTGCCTCCGGCGCAGAAACTTTGGTCAAATGAGGCTCTTCATAGTCATTTGGAAGACCTCAGAAAACCAATTTGGTCAACTTTAAAATAAGTTTGGCAATTTTTGTAAAAATTTTTTTGAAAGTCCCCCACTCGAGAAATTCGCGGGATCCGCGCCTATCACAAGAAGCCTCTTTCATAGCCCAACAAAAATCTAGAAGGTTTAATTCTACAAAAACCTGTATATGAGAAATTATTTTTGCTGAGTAGTCAAGAAATGTGATTTTTACTATATAAAACCCAACATCTTTGTTTAAAAACCAATTTTAAAGATTTTACGCACATTTTTGGAGAGTTCGCAGTTCTAAAACTTTTTTGGGCTATGTAAGAGACTTCTTGTGTTGTTTTTCTCATCAATTATTAATATAGTTTCAAACGTAATTCATGGTTAATTGAAAAAGCCAAAATGACCCATTTTTGGGGTTTAATTTTGGTTGAGAACTTCGGAGAATAAATTGCACTATATTAGTTCTGGTGAAGTTCTAAGCAACTTTTGTTCCTTTCACTTTTTGTCTAATGTTAACCCTTTTTGAGAAAAACGCGTTTGAAACTTCAAGTTTTGCTCGTTTTGTCCGGATAATTTAAATCAGCACTGCACTTAAGGAGTTTCATTCCATAACTAACTGTGCTTCTTTTCACTAACTGCGCTTCTTCAATGAATTGTTTCAGAAATTAAAAAGTAAACTCAAGTTGTAAACAAATCAGACTACCTTTTCAATCACTTGATTACGTTCTGACCAATCCAATATCTCATTTTCAGTTGCGTAAATTTGTTTTCAACCTCGTTAGGCAATCACTGGGCGACCACATGATTTCTAGCCTAACAGCGCTACCACGACCACAATTAAGAGAATAGATGTAAAATAGGTAGTTCGGTATGTTATCGCGGGTAATTTTGACTATAATTTTTCTGTGTTTTAATAAGGTTCCGGAGAACCACGGCACGTGTAGAATGGTGGCACTCTCGGACAACCAATTGTTTGTGGGATCAACTGCTAACTCTATTCTGTCTACAAAAGTAGTTGTTCCGATGGCCACGCAAGACCCGTCCTTTTCCGAGGGTGACAACAGCAGCAGCAAAGAAGAAGTGGAGGCGGCGACTGTCAAGTCTTCGTCTAGTTTGCACGTGGAGTGGACTGTTATCACACAGGTGGATCTATTCAATTTCTTTCCATTCGGCATTTGAAACTTCTTACTTAAGTTCCTCTTCGACACCCGAGTCGAGTTTTTTCACCTAATTTGAAGCAAGATTTGAGCGGTTTGAGCGATTTTTTAGACAATTACGCTCAAAATCTTGCTTCAAAATGAGCGGGTTGAGCGGTTTTTGAACGGTTCATCTAAAAAACCGCTCAAAAACTGCGCAAGATTTGAACGGTTTTGAGCGGTTTATCTAAAAAAACGCTCAAAAATCGCGCAAGATTTGAGCGGTTTTTGAGTGGTTTATCTAGAAAAACCGCTCAAAAACCGCTCAAATCTTGCGTGGTTTTTGAGCGTTTATTAGATAAACCGTTCAAAAACCGCTCAAACCGCTCATTTTGAAGCAAGATTTTGAGCGTAATTGAACATCTTGCCTTTTATGAAAAAATGGTTATCATAATTTTCATATATGGAAATTGCATGATAACCATTTTCTTAGCTTCAAAGTACCTTTTCGTTTTTGATGAGCAATGTGTTTTAGACTGAGCAAAAGTACTCTTAAATAATTTAAAATTGATTAACAACAAGTTTTAACAAAATTCTGAAAATCTTGCCTTTCATGAAAAAATGGTTATCATACAATTTTCATATAGGGAAATTGTAGGATAACCATTTTTTTCCAAAAAAAAATAAACGTAATTGTTTTTTTTTTATTTTCTCAAAAACGATCCAAAACGCAAAATCTGAGGTTAAAGATCCAGCGAAAGAATAAAACGATCTTACCTGCAAAAGCAGCTACGTCTTAATTTTTTGTTGAAACACCGTTTCGGGCCTTAGAAATAACAATTAGCTGATGTATTTAAACATTTTCGGAAATTTTTTCTTATTCCCTGAAAATGAATATTTACTAAGCAATCATTGCTGGTTGACTGCTTAGTAATCAAGACTAAGTTATAAGTCTCACCTTAATTCATCAAATTTCTTGACAATAATTATAGTTTAAAAAAATTAGTTAGAAAAGAGTATAAATTTATATATTGGATAGTTAAATATAAATGATTTACACTATTAATGAACAACTGTCTTTAGTATCAATATGGATGGGGTCAATACCTAGTTTTTATATCTAAACTAACACTTCGTTTGCCTATAGTCCGCGTCTAGATTGCTGATTGATTTGTCCACCGAAGGCTTCTTAGAGTATTGGGTCATCAGGTCGCTTAGATCTGTGTTGCTGCTTTTGTTTTTCGTCAACTTATAAAAATTCTAAGATCGTATCTTAATAAAATTATAAAATAAAAAGAGTCAAAAGAAAGAAAAAAAACATTCCTAAAAAATTTAACTCGACCGAGTGAATGGTCATGAGAATGAAATAAAAAAATTATAAAGATTTTAGACAGGTTCAATTTAAAGACAAGAAAGCTTCATATTACTTTTTGTCTAATTATAATCTTCATAGACTTTGTTTCATCGAATATGCTTCATCCTCAGGGTCTTTGGAAAGTTTTCAGTAGCTTCAAAGTTTTTCTTTGAAGTTTTTAATATTAAAAAGCTATTAATCATTCCATCTCTGATTTGCAGTTTTTCTATTTTTTTGTGTCTTTGTTAGGCTCCAAAAAACCGGGTGCTTATTGCCCTAATGTCTCTTTATCAAAGCAGAACATTCTAACCGGTCAGCTTATATGGCGACACACTTTTTTTTGATATCCGAAAAAAGTCATTGAAAAAATTTGAATAGTTTAAAAGGAACTCAACCACCTTGAAAGAATAAAAAAGTAATTGAAGGGTTGACAAACTAAAAGTGGAAAGGAGTCCATTCTAATCTTACGTAAACAATTTGAAAAAATAGTCTTTTATCTCCGTGTGGTGATTGTAATACTACAATTCCCCCTTTTTCTAGATAGATAGTTGTTCGATACTTGCACTTACATTGGTAACAAATTATGTTTATAGTTCGTGAAATAGGCTTAGGTTAAAAATTTGAGAATAACATTATACTTTAAGATGGAATCAAATCGTTAAAAAGAAATAGTTTGTTTAATTTGTTTCCTTTCAAATCTTTTTAGAGCTTTTCCTTCGTCATTCTTGTCATTGATGTCATTGGCGATTTCACTCATTTGCTACTCGCTGTCTTGATTTTGGTAGTTCTCATCATCATCGAATCCAGGCTGCAATTGTGTTCCGAGTTGATAGATTAGGTTTTGCTTGTCAAAACTGCAGTGACACCATGCTAGCTTCTCCTGATTCTGATTGTGATTTTATGTATTTCAACTGACAGCTTATAGTTCAGAAACGGTTCAATTTCTGTTGTCAAATATCCTGACACAGTTTCATTTTTCGTTTATTACAGAAAACGATTATGTGGAAATTTTGTGTCCTACACAGGCTAACCATGGTTGACTTTTGTGTCCTGATCAAATCAAATATTAGTTTTCTGTGTGTTGCACGCAAACTCACCAGTAAGAAAAGTGGAAAAATATTATTAACTTCTCAGTTTCATACTGATTATAATATAATTATAAAAATCCTATAGCTATACACTTTTGGTTGGGGTTTACAAGATGCAAATTTGAAGGAATAGAAAAATGTAATAATTGTAGAGCAAGAATACAATAATTATTTTTGATTTGACAACTTTTTTGTCATAACTAGTAAGTTTTATTTCATATTTGATAAGCAATACAAGAGATTTGAGTTAGAATTAAGTCAAAATGAAATATCGAAGAGAAAAAAAGTTTAAAACGATTACGTATAAGGTTCAATAAGATAAGTGGATTGTTTCTCTTTGGTTGTAATCTTCTGCACTAATCCAGGTTCACAGTTTTACGAAAAAAAGTTTGTCCTCATCTCGACGATGTAAAACTTGATGTAAAAATCATAATAAGGTTGCGGTCCAACTTTCAAATTATAGCTTCTGAAAATCTTTTGTAATGAAGGATTTAAACGACTGCGTGTAGTGAATTTTAAACTACCCAAATGCTAATTTGGCCAAAATTTTGAGGAGCGAATCATAAGAGTCTCAAAGACTGCATACAGCCACGAGCAATCATTTGCGTTGAAATAATATGGTACCATGAGTTTTAAAAGGCTGCATAAAGCCATCATTAAATGCTGACATAAATCTGCGGCAGGTCGGGTCGAAAAATTTTTTTGCCTATTTTATGACAATGAAAATTGGTAGAAGTTGTACTCAATGTGTTGAGAAGAAAAGAGGTGATATCTCCCTTTTTGATGAATTTCTTCTAGTTTGCATTTCGTCAGTTGAAAACTACGAAGCAAATAATTAATTTAATCGGTCCCTACTTGGGCCTTAATAGAATTCCGATGGAGCTATTATCTTCGCAGAATAAAATTGATACAATTTTACAATTGCTAGTTCTTTCATCAAAGGTTTCATTCTTTGAAATCTCGTTTTTGTACGAAGGGTAATTTTACGTTCCCTTAAGTGTAATAAGATATTTTCAATGACAAAACCGCCTGAAATTGAAAATATTATATACTCGTAAAACTATATAAAAAATATAATGAACTCGAAAAGTTTTTTTTCTCTCAGCCTTTGGGTTCTGATCAATCTATCTTTATTAGATTTGGAAGATGTTCCAAGAATTTTGGCATACTTGGCTGTTTTTGATCTCGGTAAAGTGTTTAATCTGTGACCCGTGACTACGCATTTTGGCATAACCTTTTGGGTGTCATGCAGAACCGCCATTCAATGTCTTAAGTTTTGTATTGTTTAAAAAAATATTTTTCGTTGTAAAAGTTTTCTCTTCAGTGAGCCTTATAATTTTCGCAATTGCTTGAATAGAAAACACTAACAAAAGCACGCAAGAAATTGCTTGATTAGTGACATCCAATAAAAAAAAACACTCATACTAAAGTTTTGCACTAAGAATAAAATAACTTTTTCGTTCACTATACAAAACGTAAGGTAAACTGCACAAACCTTGACATTATAAAAGTTTTAATAAAAATATACAAAAAGACCTGTTTTTAAACAGGAAAAAAATTCTATTTCATTTCTATTTTATTAAACGTTTGGCCTATTAGACCTTCGCTTATAATTATTTTTGATCTAATTTTGTTCAGCTGCAGAGGCTGTATCTAACAATATTATTCATAACTGTTGGCAAAAGAAATGAGTGATCATGTTGCTCCAGTGCCTAGTAAAAGTTGGGTTTTATGACCGTTTTTTTTTCATTTCTGTATCCGACGGGATATTGGTATAAATTAATCTACAATTGTTTATTTGGTTCTAGTGTGAATTAACAAGTTCACACTCTTTATCGGTATAGTATCCTGGAGTTTCAGTAACAGTAAATTGTGGATCTGGTAAGGTGAAAGATAAAATTTATTGCCGTTGAAAGGTTTTTTTTATTATTCGGCCTGTCACGCGATTAAAAACTTTCATAGCAGTTTGAGATATACCTGATTTCTGGTTGGGGTTTCATATCATTGAGATTGTTGTTTACTCTTGACTTACAGCTATAGTTCGGTATTCTCTCTTATTTGATTTCTCTCTTATTTGAAGTGATGCTTAATTTTGCTCCTGTTGATTTTCATATTTAAAGCAATGACTTATCGCATGGTCTGACATGCAACACCTTTTGCAAAACCTTGGATTATTTTGTTTGTTTATATGTTCATCATCAATATAAACTCACTACTTACTGCAAAACTTAAGTCTTTTGTAGCTAGGTGATCTTTTAATTGTTGCCAAGTTGCGAGCGGATTCTCATTTACGAATTGATGTGCCATTTGATATAAGCCGGGGGAGCTTAAGCCTCGTACAAATAATTCCATTTTCTTTGCTGTACTTTGATCATCATTAAAAATCCGATTGAGCCATCGACGTTTTTCTGGTGTGCTTAATCTATTTATGTTGTTTTTGAAAAAATCCTCAGGTTATCTTTTTTTATGTTTTCTGTATGTATTTATCTTCTATACTTTTATTCGTGATAACCTTGAGCGGCCGGACCTCTTACTATTGAACCAAACAAAAGCTTTTTGTCTGTT